GTTCAAGACTAGGGAAGAGATCTTTTGGGTGACACCAGCCTCTTGAGGGGCCAGCTTTATGTCTCCCATCTCTTGTACAAAGTCAAACACCCAATCAGTGCATAAAGACAGTCCACTGTCCAAAACAGTTTTATCTTTTTTGGGGGGACCAAGTCTTTGCATTACAGATCAAGACTAAGGAAGAGATTTTTTTGGGTGACACCAACCCCTTAAAGGGTCAGCTTTATGCCTCCCATCTCTTGTACAAAGTCAAACACCCGATCAGCACATGAAGACAGTCTATTGTCCAAAACAGTTTCATCCTCTTTCTTGGGGACTAAGTCTTTGCATCACAGATCAAGACTAAGGAAGAGATTTTTTTGGGTGATACCAACCCCTTGAAGGGTCAGCTTTATGCCTCCCATCTCTTGTACAAAGTCAAACACCTGATCAGCACATAAAGACAGTCCATTGTCCAAAACAGTTTTATCCTCTTTTTTAATGACAAAGTCTTTACATCAAAGATCAAGACTAAGGAAGAGATATTTTGGGTGACACCAGCCTCCTGAGAGGCCAGCTTTATGTCTTCCATCTATTGTACAAAGTCAAACACCTGATCAGTGCATAAAGACAGTTCATTATCCAAAACAGTTTTATCCTTTTTGGGGGGGACAAGTCTTTGCATCACAGTTCAAGACTAAGAAAGAGATGTTTTGGGTAACACCAATCCCTTGAAGGATCAGCTTTATGTTTCCCATCTCTTGTACAAAGTCAAACACCTCATCAGCGCTTAGAGGTAGTCCATTGTCCAAAACAGTTTTATCCTCTTTTTTAAGGTCCAAGTCTTTGCATCACAGATCAAGACTAAGGAAGAGATTTTTTGGGTGACACCAACCTCTTGAGTGGCCTGCTTTATGTCTTCCATCATTTGTACAAAGTCAAACACCTCATCAGCACTTAAAGACAGTCCAGTATCCAAAACAGTTTTATCCTGTTTATTTTTTAGGTCTTTTTCTTGGACTTAACAACACTGTATTTTATTTTGTATAAGTCTACTTATCTCATGAAATTACCTGCACTACCAAAAGTGCCAAGATATAACAGGAAGAGTATCTTTCTATCTTAGGTAGGAAACAAAGAAATTATCAGTTAAAAAGTGTTTTGCTCTAATCTGGGTATTAAAATGCAGTTACAGTGTGTTTATGTTTGTGTTTAATGTAAACAACCTTTTTAGAGATCCTTTGAACCATTTGAAAGGTGAAATATTGATTTGGGTTCAACTATAATATGTGCATACTTTATTTGGAAATTTTTTATTCAGCAGGGAAGGAGAGAGCTGGTTAAGACTGTTTCTAAATATATGTTCTATGCATTTAGGAATAAGAAAAAGCATAAGAAAAAAATTTCTCATCTTCCTATGTACTTCACATCTAAGGTAAACTACAAACAAACCAAAACTTTGTTTACCAGGATCTTGTTTACCTGTGTCAGCCAATGATTGGAATCCACAGTAAAGCAATCATCAATAAACATGGTTGAAGGTTGGCATACACCCTGAAAAAAAAAAAACCATTTTTTTAAAGTTTTGCTTGCAACATCAGTTTACACAAAAAGTTTGATAACGATCCAATAACAATTTTCCATTTCTGGGAAAAAGTTGGCAAACAAAGTTGATAGCTTTTGTATTTTGCAATCAGTCATTTAGTGTTAGTCATGTAGTCAGTTCGTAAGTCAGTCAAGAAGTCAAAGTTAGTTGACTTAGCTGAAAGTTAGTCGATAAGCTGGTAAACCCAACACAATTTTAATTCATTTTTAGCTACCCAGGACTTCACCCCCTCATGTGTCAATTCCCTATAAACAAGGTAGGCAACAACCAATTAAGAATTGCTTTAAATAAGATTTGAAGAAGATGGCCACCTTGGTAAAGCACCTACCAGAGAGAAATATAAAAACAATTTCCTTCTTGCAATCCCATTACTTCCATTCAGACAAAACTGGCTTCAAACAGAGTTTTCAATGTTAAACTTCCGTATATGATCATTAAATATTCATCTCCTTTGTAACAATTGTTAAACTGATCACTTTAATTCTGATCAAAATCTTCCATTTGCTGGCATCCAAGCTTGCTCCCTGAGTTTCACATAAAAAGTCCTCTGAAAGGACATGTAGCAAGTGGTTAGCAAAATTTGAGTTAATATGTTCTTGAAACTCAAAATCTTTTTTTGGCTAGAGATGTATGAAATGTATGCCAGAATATATGATAAAATAATATTGATATTTTTATCAAAACCCATTCATAAAGTTAAAAGTCAACTGAAAGAACTCATGAAGATCTTGAGGTGTTTTAGGTCTCACTTGGTGAGTTTGCTTGAAAGCTTCCAAAGTATACCTGGTAATTAACACCAGAATATTCGCCGGAGCTCTAGCAGGTGCCAGGTCTTATTGAAAGTACTGATTAAGGAGCCCTTGTTGTTATGCCTACATGAAAGCTTTTGAAATATATTTTTTTTCTTCATTCAATACCTTTTCACCCACTCAAAGAGTGGAGACGGCAAAATATCTTTGGTTAGGCTGTGGAGGAGACTAAAGCAGTACCAAAGCAGTTTAAATTTGCCAACAATTACTCAGACATCAATGGCAATAGACCATAAAATTTATGTGTCTGAGTTTATTTCAGATAAATTGGAAGGTTTTTTTGCTATCCATTGAATGCGATTTTCATTGGAATCTTTTGAAAGTAAATTTTCTTTTGCTTTTACAAAAGTGCAAACATCAGTTACTTAGTGGTCCACTTCAATGCACCCAAGTAAACCCAACACAATTGTAATAAATCTCTTTTTTCATGCACACTCTGTTTCATCTGTGCTATAGAACAATTGGTTCATGCTATGCACATATATCAAGATATGGATGTAATTGGGAAGTTTGGAGAGCACTCTGAAGGTTAGAGATGCTCTTAAGTTTGCCTCAAGCAACTCTTATGCTTCTCTCCTTTTCTCCAAACTTTCAGTTTGCATTCATATCTTGATAAATCTTCACTAAGCATAAACCGATTGTTAAATCAGCAGAGTCCACACTACCTACGTACAACTATCTGCTATGAAATGGATACATCTATTGACATTCTCATTCACTAGATTCACCCCAGCTTGTAGGCTGTCTACAATGGATAGTATACCGCAGATACAGCATACAGCTATCTACGCTTTCCACAACAGATGCAGCTATTTAGCTGCATACGAGTGCAGAGCTCCCAGGAAAATATTTAAATTTCCCGCGTTCAGGTACTAAAACGATTTAAAATGAATTAAACAGTTCCTTACCACGCATAAAAATAAATTGAACAGGAGAAACGTCTTAAGAATTAAAATGAAATAGAAAACACCGTGCAAAGCAGAACAGCCTCAAGAAATACCTTGATGCCTGGACGAATTTTAGATGTTTCTGTGTCCGCCAGCGGTGAGTGCGTGAACATAAACATTCGCCGTTTTTGTGTTCTTAAGCCTCTGTAACCATTCCCATGATATTCAGCGGAAGGAGCCATATATTGATAAAGGCGATTTAATAGCCAAGTGATGCAGAAGGGGCATTTTGTCACGAATTTTCATGCCAAAGAAAGGTGTTCCTTCCTGCAGCCATACTTTGCATGCGCGACGTGGTCACGATGGTGACTTGAACCCAGTCTTCTCTCTATTCCCTTTAAGAACCAAACAACCTGGGTGAGGGAGGGCGAGGATACAATACTTGAGTAAGTAATAACATGGCTCCTGACCGAGAGATTACGAAAAATCTCTTGCTCCTGACTACGAGAAGTACCTAAGTTTTGGCGAAGTCCGTTGCGGGACTGGAAAAAGAAAATAATGCCAAAAAAAAAATGTTAGCGCGGACTGAGTTGTTTCCCCTTCGATTTTCCACGCGTTCTATGGAAAAGAGCCAGACCAGTTCCGCGGGAACCTAGGATGACCCCAAATTCCGCGGCCAGTTTGTCTTCTCTAAGAGACATAATTAAACTGAATGGTCTGAAACTGAGATATATTTTGACTAATTTGGCATTAAAGCGGTATTGGATTTAAAAACAAAGGTACCAAGATTTCTAAAAAAATCCCATAGTAAAAAGTTAAAAGTTTCGTTGAGAAATATTAACGGCAGCAGACCAGAAAGCCATAGAGAGGCCAAATTTGGCGTTGAAATATGTTTAGGAGTCATTTGCCATCCTCCAATACGGCATATTTTGATTCAAGTCCGGACTTGGGGATCATTTTGTTCACCGGGATCACATACACATTAGTTGCACAGATGTAACGTTCTCACCTCGTTTATGACTCGCCCTTTCTACCCGCCTCGCGCTCGCGTGTACTAGAAATATTAACGCAAAAAATCTTTTCTGCCGCTATCTATATTCGACACCTCCAAGACAAGTGGAATATTAAGAAAGGCACGGGAAGACAACATATGCGTAAGAGGCTGTGAGGACGGTTGACATATAAGTCTCCTAACTTCCTCATCCTGTCGTTGTTACACCTGAGGAAAACTGGTATGAAAACCATTGGTATTGACCACTCGAATGATGGAATCATTATATTTTCGTACTTTATCAGTCCTTGCAGTAATCATTTTGACATTATCGATATATATTGAATTCATTTGACCGTATTTTGATTGGCTGTGTCTTATAGTGCCCCCTATTACGTCGTGAGCTTTTCCTACGCTCGAGACAAATACCGAACAATTTGGCTTTCTCTTAATAGGATATTTCCCGAGTGAGCACGCTTCAAGGCAGTTTGATTGAACGACTAATCTATCGCCTATCAACAGTATTTACATTCACGCATTGATTGAATGCGTACAAGTATTATAAATTCCGAAACAAACCTAAGAATATATGGTTGTTGAGTAGAATATTTGTAATTTCTGCAAACTGATCTGAATGCGTTCTGTGTCATCTTAAAATGATGACACTTAACGAAAGAAAACAGTGCAGTGTGAAAAGATTAGCAGAAATACTTTTCTTTCTATAATATTTATTTGTTCCTCAGCAAACAGATAACAGATTAACTCACAAGCAAAGTGATACCTTGATTTAACTCTACATTCTCCCAAATAATTTGCAGGAACATATATAACAGTTGAAGGGGAGACTATGGTTATTGACTAGGAGCTATATGATTAAGCAAACGTAACTTATAGATGGTAATGAATGGTTTTCATAACTCCTACAATCTTTGTAAGTAAGCAGACTACAATTTTAATTCAACAAGAAATATTACAGCTATAGAAATACAGTTTGCATCTTTTTCACTCATCAAAAAGAGTGATTGCATACGATTTACATTGCGTTTAAACTAAATGAATGTTCTTGAACGACTACTAAGGTGATGAAAATCTTCTTTATTTTCATCCATCCATTGATCCGATCCATCAAACTGCGCGTAAGCCATCACTTGTGGATTTAACTTAAGTCACCCGCCAGTTTCTTAGTATCTTCTTCTTGTTTATCTTTATCCTTTACTTCCTTCAAACGCAGTACTAAATTTCTCATTTCTGACAACATCCTCCTTTGCTCGGTAAGTTGATTCTGAAAATCACGTCGCAGATCTCCAATTTCCTCCTGAATGTCTTCGTTTGTTACTCTACTAAAACGGTCTCTGTCACGATGGCACATCTAAAACGTGTGGAAATCAAACGTCTCAACTTTGAAGAAGAAAAGTACGAAAATTTAGGGCAGCCATGATCACAGGTGTGAAGTATAAACTCCAATGTCCACAATTATGGAATACAGATATGCCTGATATAGAATTCTAAAAATTAGATCGACACGCTATTTCCCTGTTCGTACCTTAATTAAGAGCAATCAGGGCACTGAATTTTGCTAGAAAGTTGTAAATGTTCGCAAATATTAAAATTACACAGACTTAAACAAGATTTTTGTGGTCTTTTTAACACTGGATACGACAAAGTTCTTCCTTTGATTCTAGAGCCTGACAGCTGCCGTAGAGAGAGCTCCCTCTCCACATGCTTTCAATTTGGTCACAGGAACAACCCCTCGATTAATTGTAGCTGGAGGAGTGTGCTGAGGTATGATATGTTGGCAGATTACTGATGAAACCAAACCATTTATAGATTCAATTTCTAGCCCATTACCCTCCCCGCTCCCCCCTCCCTCTTTCGAACATACCTTGGTGAGCACTGTAATGCCTTCAAATCCCAATGAAACGAAGGGCAATAGTTTATTTCCCTCTGTATATTCCACTGAAGAACGCGCTACTTTTCTACCGTTCAAGGAGAACAACACAGAGACTTTTCCCTCGAGGACTCCACTAAAATCAACTTCACAAGCGATGAGATCACCGCGGTAAGCCATGGCTCCTAAGTTATCAACAGAAAATATTAAGTACATAGCAGAAAGATAACAAAATAAGCTAAACATGAGGCAACCAACCGTGTAACACCAGGATGTGAAATTGGACTTTTTTCTTTGTTGTTCGGTCTTGATCAATGACCTACCTCTTCGTTCATTCGAAGACAAAGTTTAATCTCCCTCACTGTATTTATACAAGGAGTGTTGACGATATAAATGATCCTAGTAGCGTCAAGCATTTGTTGATATGAATCTCGTTTTTCTTTGACCTTAAATGAGTTCTCTGTAGACCATTTGATCGGCAAGCAGAAGGCGATGGTTGGAACCCTCCACGATCGAAGGATTCAGGGTTTTTTCAGTTTCACACTCTAGGCACATGGATTTTACAGTAACTACGCTCAACATTCTATCTTGATCACACAGCTACAATACATTTCCCATTTATCTCATGCACGTCAGAATAATCATCGAGGAGTCTATAACGATTTTAAAGTGATCCCTATAACGTTCACAAACGAAAATTTCTGAATCTTTTTCTTTTGGAAAACAGAAACCTACTGTCGTAAGGTCGCCCTCAGAAGGACGGTAAGACTTTGATTATGTTTCCAAGCGCCAACAGATCCTTGTGGCAGATATCGTACACCTATCGTCAAAGTAACCCATACCTTCGACTTCTCTTCCCAGCTCATGGAAGCCAGTTTCAAATATTTTACCATCGTCTATGTGGTAACCTACTGTTCCACTATACCAGCCAGGCATTTTGTGACAGTCGTACGACTCATAAACAGCACCCAATGCCACAATACGCCTCTCCCCAGTCTCCTGAATAAGTACCTGCAAAACAATGACGGCCTTTTCTTTTTTAGACTTTGTTGTTACCGTTGCCATAAGTCCCATGCTTTTAATTTTTTTTTCGGTATGCAAATGAGTTTTTTTGCTCGTGAGACCGAGGGAATACTAGTTTCTTAAGCCAAAGCAAAATAATGACGATGATAAAGACGATGTTAGCCATAATATAAACAATCAACATCCGAATTAATGATCATATAAACAATAAAAGCAGCTATAATAACAACTGCAATAATGATGATGATTACAAAGCAACACACTTATGTAAATAATAATAATAACGACAATAATAATATAAATATAAACGATTAATCCAAAAGGGAATTTCGGCTGAACGAAGGCACCATCACGCTATTCAAAGGTGGCCATCTGGGGCCTTATAACTTGACCCTGAAATGCACCTCAACGAAGTGGAACAAGGAGGTGAATTTAACCTTTCATACCCTAACATCATTATGAATATTCTCTATGCTGTTCTCTATACAATTGTGCTGACAAGGAAGAATTATCTAAACAATGAAGAGCTTTTTCGGTTGGTGATCATTTACTTTATCCATGTGACCCTAATGTTCGACTCTGGCATAATAATGTGTGGAGAAATCACATCATAGTCACTCTTAGGTATTACAGGGTTAGGTGCCTAAACGAGATCCATGTTGACACGTTACCATGAAAGCAAAGGTGAAAATAGGATACCACAAGAGGAACATAAAGATGTTTTTCGGGAACCGGTCTGGTCTTTCTATTATGGAGGCACCGTTAAGTTCATTCTTAAAAAAATTATTTAGTATCTGTAGTGCTACAAAATAGAAAAGAATACCAGCGCCTACAAGAGGGAGGTTATTTAAGGGAAGAGGGTGAAAAGGCGATGTAATTATGTTGCATCTTCATAGAATCTATTATGAAGCAGGAAGTATATGAATTAAATTTGTTGTCCGCAAATAATTTTCTATAAATCAAAAGCACACCTCAAATCTTGGTGTCTCTGGTGTAAAGGGAGACTTGAACTTGGCACTGTGAATGTTCTTACGATTTCCACTTTTGCATATGCCGCAGACATCTGGTCCCACGTAAGTTAGGAGACAGCCATCGACAGCAATTCCCGGCGAATCATACCACGCCTTTAAATGACAATCAAACAAAACTTCAGTAACACGAGGGACCCCTTCAGGCGGCTGGTATGTCACCTGAAAATGTCTGCGGCTGAGACATTGTCCAAGAATGAATATTTGGCCAAGAACCAAAGCTTCAAGGAGAAATTTGAAAACTTAAAGACAATCTCTCAACCAGGGACATTGTCAGCCGACATACCAGCAAGCTATAAGGGGTTTTATTCAAGCTATAACCCTCCCATTAATTTTCGTATCGCGTATTGAGAGCGAGTTTTGTTGACTTTTTTGTACTTCCCGGAGCAGCATTTGAGATTGGCTTTTCTATGTCACTACAAAACAAGTTCGGTTTTTTTTTTCAAGGGAACATGGAAACTACAGCACAACGTTTCTTGAAAGATTTTCTCAATCGTACATTTAAATTTTTGTTCGAGGGAAAAGGTTAAAATGCAAATTAAAAAGGTTAAAAAGGTGTATCCTGATGGAGCAGGATCCATAGTATATGGTAGGGAAACTTCCTGTTTAATTAACATAAGAATGTGGGCCTGAAAAACACTCACTCTGTGGCCAGACGCAAGTTTTTCCTCCTTATTTCCACGCGGTCGGAATACTTGCCGTACTATCTGATTGGCCAATTTTCGTCCTCCCTCATTTTCTTGCACCAAGTGATCTATCTTTTTCCCCTCTAAAACAAAGCGAGGAACCAAATATTAAATTGGCCTCTTCTGAATCTAGTCCGCAAAATCATTACGATACGCCTCGTTATAAATAGATTATCATTACTGGAATTCTTAATTTGTGATTTTTTATTTCTTGTCTGTCATGGTATAAACTTCTTTAGAACTATTGCTTTGATCATAGCAAAGCAAGGTTTAGTAGAAAAACATCTCTTTCCGCCATATTCTTTTTTATGATCATATCATAGATTTCTGGGGCTATTTACTAATCTAGCATATCACCCACCTGTGAGGGGAAATTCATAACCGTATTTCTCGAAGTACATCCTTTCTAGTTTCTTCACCACTTTATTCAGAGCTACTCTCTGTCGAATCAAAGAAGGCCACATCGAAAGTGAAGTAAAATCACTGAGCAGACGTGAACGATAACTTTAAACAACAGCAGCTTGTTAAAACTCACAAAACTAATTGGCAAGGCCGCAGCTTACCCGTCCGCCCTTGAGCGAAGCAGGAGTGTCGCGCCAACATAGGTGCCAGAGTACTATCAGGGGGACAGACAAAAGGTTGAAGGGCACTGGTATCGGATGATAGGTGCTGTAAGTTCTTACAGTAATGGCTCTCTTGAAAGACCACTCCTGCAGTGAATTATCCTGATAATAGAGGAATGAGAAGGACTTAACAGCTTCTAAGGAAGTACCAGTTAATAAAGACAACAGGCGACACTCCTATAGCGGAAGAATATTTTTGACATATCATACCCAAAGGACAATATTTACCATTATTTTCGTCTAAAGCGTCAGTCGGCCAAAAGTACAATTATAAATGATCATAGAATCTTTTGAACTTTGCGAAAAATGTATTTTGTATCTTACGCCAAAAAAGTCCAACCGAGTTTACAGTCGAGAACTTCTCATATTTTCTTAACTCTGGATTATGAACAGAATTAATATACATCGGCGAAGGCAGAGAGACTGTTAAGTACCTGAACCTGCTGATAGGTGTTTGAGAGCAACGCAATCATCATGTTCACGAGAAGGATAACTGCCATGATTAAGAAGAAGCTGTACAGCACATGAATAAGAGAAACGGATGAATCGTCGACGGAGTTCAACCTATCCAGGTCAGCTAAACCCAGTAAAGACCAACCAAGGTGTGTCGCCATGTTCCACCAACTGAAGAACATAAGCAACGAGTTAGATCAAAACACCATCGAATTTTTGAAATTGAGATTGTTATGACCGCCATAAATGTTTTTAAACGTCTGTGTCCTGGAGGCCATCGTGTCACTACTCCTACATGGATCATCTATTTCAAAATTTGCTTTCAAGATTCCTGGTCAGCTCAATTAAGTCAAACACCAACACATTTAAGTGTTGGTATCCAAAATATATCACAAGATAACCGATAACCTTCAACCTGAGGGATACCAGTGGTAAAAAGAAATAGCAACGATGAAGTCTGGATTTTTCCAGAAGGTGAAACCGTAAGGTACCTCTTAAGAAGTTAAACTAATAGCTGCGTCGGCCTTTTTGTAGGTTTAAGAGGCGAAGTAGCGTTAATTAATCGGACGCGAAGCCGAAAGAGGGATGGGGGGCAAAGAGGGTTTCTTCACTCGCAGCTGTGCTTCTTGTTCTAGTAAATCTGCTGCCATGAAAGGAAAGGGTGTCTTTCCTGCAAATTTTCGTGATGAAGCTGATAAAGCTCAGTGTTGAACATCAGTACTTATTTCAACACATCAGAATGATTTTTTTCTCACTTCTTTTCCTCTCGGGAGACCTTAAATATTGAAAGCGCGAAATTCAAGGTTAGCAAAAATTTTGTGTAACTTGGTATATTT